ATGACGGAATCCTTGTGCATCAATTGGCATACACTGAAAAGGTACTCAAGATATTCAATATGGACCAGGCCCACCCATTGACCAGCCCAATGGTTGTGAGGAGCCTTGGATTGGATAGTGATCCATTCGGTCCAAAGAAGGACGATGAAGAAATCCTCGGTCCTGAAATGCCATACCTCAGTGCCATAGGAGCATTAATGTACTTGGCTAGTCACATTAGACCAGACATCTGCTTTGCCGTGAGCCTCTTAGCTCGCTTTAGTTCGTGTCCAACTCAAAGGCACTGGAACGGTATTAAGCACATCCTTAGATACCTTCAAGGTACTAAGGACTTGGGATTATTTTATTCTAACCATAACAAGGATGGTCTAGTTGGTTTTGCTGATGCAGGATATTTGTCAGATCCGCACTGTGCCCGGTCTCAAACCGGTTATGTTTTCACGCATGGAGGAACAGCCATATCTTGGAGATCCATGAAGCAGACTATTGCCGCTACCTCATCCAACCATGCGGAAATCTTGGCCATTCACAAAGCTAGTAGAGAGTGTGTTTGGTTGCGGTCCATGACTCAGCATATCCGATCAGATTGTGGTATGGACGAAGATAAGGAGCCTACGGTGATGTATGAAGACAATGCAGCTTGTATCGCTCAACTCAAGGACGGCTACATCAAAGGTGACCGGACGAAGCATATTCTGCCCAAATTCTTCTTCACTCATGAGCTACAGAAGGATGGTCAGGTCAAGGTTCAGCAAGTCCGATCAAGCGAAAATTCAGCCGATCTATTCACTAAATCATTACCGACTTCTACACTCCGGAAGCTCATTCATCAGATAGGAATGCGTAGACTTAGAGATCTACAGTGATGCCTAAACCAGGGGGAGTAATGCGTGTTGTACTCTTTTTCCTTCACCATGGTTTTTCCCACTGGGTTTTCCTGGTAAGGTTTTAATGAGACAACGTTCCCCAGCGCATTATAGAGATCCCGGTTTTGTGACAGGCACAGTTATCTTGTCCAAAGGGGAGTGTTATAAACAAATGGACTTCTAGTAACCGGCCCATTAACCATTAGGTTAATGTCTCATAGCCCATTAGGGTTTCTGATGCATTAGTTATGTAATGTATATATACACTGTTTATGGAAACAATAAGATAAGGGTTTTTCCCTCCATATTTAGCAATTTTATCTCTCGCTTAACTGTTACAAAACGCGCTATTTTGTTATATAACATATTATTTTATGTGGATGGTTAATTAAATAGAGTGTTGGACGCTAAGAGGTTAGGAAATTTATCAGATAATTAGATGCTCACAGAAATAAATAACATAGCATAGAATAAATTATGTGCAGAACAATTTCTTCTATTTATAAATTACACATCCAAATAACATTTAATGAGCTTTATTGGTATGTACGTATTTTTTCACATTTTGAAATAATTTTGTCGAGTACATGTCATTCACAATAAGCACAGAATGATAAAAGATAAAATTTAACAAGTTATTTTCTAATCTTTTCCTGTTTTAAATTTATACTAGTTTATACAAAAAATTTATTCATTTAATAAATAATTGTATTTTGGCATTTAAGTTAGTTTTAGTTTTAAGTTTTCTCGTTCTACTCATTCTGCTATTTAATAATTCAGCAATTCTGCTATATTCCAGCTGACATACCAATCGAGTTTAACATGTTACAAGAAAGTTCAAATAAAAATTTATTATGTTACAATAAAATCATGTATCATGTATACATGAAAATGTACTCGAAAAAGGATTATTACCATTTTTTGTTAATAGTCCTTGAAGAATAATCGTTATACAAGTTACCCAAAAGGGAAAATTGCACGAACGGAATGCATTATTAAAGAGTTATGAAATAGCAGAAAACACCAATGCTATTTTTTAAGATATGCACATGAGAGAAGGCAGCTGTTATTTATATATGTTCAAACAAAACAATTATTTGTGGTATTGGTACCAACCAACTTTTGTCACTATCAGTATTAGCGGCTTAACCCCGTAACAGCTGTTTCTTGGCAACCCCATTTTGGTGTGCCAAACTTGATAATAACTAAATGATAAATCAACTTTAATCAATGGTTTTATTCCACCCATAACATAGTTTTATGCTCACCAACAAGGTTGGTAAGAGCCTGATCCATTATCTAATTATTATAGAATTATTTATACATCAAGAATAAACAAATAATGATAATGATCGTATTCGGTTTAAGGTTTAATGAGAATAGTTGAGTTCATCTGGATCTAAAAAGATCACACATAGCTTGGTCCAGTTAATTACCGAGACATATATAAAATATAGAAAGAAATGGAGAAATAATCCAATATATTGTAGTGATTTAGTAGTTAGCGCAAGGAGTTGGTTTTTTATTCACTGTTCCGTAAATTCAACTTTTTTTTGAAGATATGTTTTATGCCATGTCATAGTATTATCAACTGTCGAATGTTGGATAACGGAGATTGACGAGATCGACCCCAATACCATCGAAAAAATTGATATTTTGGGAGAAGTAAAAGAAAAGGGTAAGAAATAAAAAAAAGGGGGGAAGGAACATATGAAAAAATGGTGGCAAAAGATAGTTGCTATGTGACCTATGTCAAAAACTAAAATTCGTTCCCAAAAGTAGTTTCGTTTTATACTTAACTAGATTTTACTTCGTGCATCCGCACAAGAAATTTTTTTAATCAAAATTTATAATATTATTTATGTTTTCTTTATAGATATAATTTTTTAATAAATAACAAAGATTTATTTTTGTGTTTAGATATAATTTTTTTTTTTTTATTTTTTCTATTATATTATGACCATGATCATAAAAACATAATTCTAACCCGATTATTCTATTGATCGAAAAAAGACCGTTATTATAAAAATATATTTTAACTCACTCATTCTATTAATCCAAAAATTCTGTAGTTACTAAACCATAATTCTAACCCGTCCATCGTATTACTATATAATATAATTATTTACTAATTTTGAAATAATATTTATTTTAATATCTTGCATGTTTTGAATATAAGACTGTAATTATAAAAAAAACATAATCCACCTCATCAAATTACCATATAATATTAATATTTCTTAGTTTTCAATATGTGAAATTTTATTCTGATTGAATATGATTACAAAATACAATAATGTATTCTCTTAATCATATTTGTTTTTCTAAAAATATTATTTAAATTTTTAAATGTTAAATTAAATCTGACCTATAATTAAAGAAATATAAAATAATTTAAATTAATATCATTTTTAGAATTAAATTTAATTAAAAAACAGTTTGAATTTTAAATTAAATATGACCTATATTTAAGGAAAACTTTAGTTAAATTCATATCTAATTTTCGAATTTTTTTAATATAAAAAAGAAAATATGTTTTTAAATAATATTATAATAATTTAGGATAATTTTAAAACTGTTTTTCAAAATATTTTTAAAAAAATTTTGGGAGTGTTTGGAAACAAGTACTAAATGTGCTTCTGTTTTAATATAATAGACTAGATTCTAACCCGTGCATCCGCACGAGAATATTTTTTATTGTTTAACGAATTTTGTAATATAATTTGTGTTTTTGAGTTTAGATATAATTATTTTTATAAATATATTTTTTAATAAGCAAAAATATTGATTTTTGTGTTTAGATATATTTTTATAGTATTAAAATTAATTATGATTATAAAAATATAATTTTAACCCGTCCGCTAATATTAATTCAAAATGAACTATTATAAAAACATAATTCTAACTTTTTTGTTCATATTACTGTATAATATAAATATTTGTTAAAAGTTTGAGATGTATTAACAGTATTATTTAGCATTATAGTTTTCTAAAATTTAATCAACAAAGAGAGTGTACAACTGGTTTTTCAAACCACATTATAGTGTGTGTAATAATTTTTAATTTTTTTTTATGTTTTAATTTTGTATGAAAAATATATTTTCGATATACATGTATAATTCAAAATTAGTGATATTAGTTACCAAAATATTTTAACTCGATTTTTTATATAAACAACATAAATATCATATCATTTACATTATTATAAATATTTTATATTTCAAATATGACCATTATTTTTCATATGTGAATTTTTTTTTTCAAAAATTCTAGATATTTTTGATAAAAATGTTTAATAGTATAGAAATTATTTAAATTAGAATCTTTAAATCAAATCTAAATTAATATCTGATTTATTATTTTTAATCAAATTAAATCAAATCTAAATTACCTATATTTAAGGAACTCTAAAAATATTTAAATTAATAACTAATTTTCAAAATTAAATATAAATAATTATTAAAATTATTTTTAAACATTTAAAACAAATTAGGAGTATTTGGAAGCAAGTATTAAATGTTCTTCTGTTTTAATATAATAGATATAATGTGGCCTAGTTTATAAGGCCGAACCTGATCGGCTATCAATATTTAGCTTCTGCCCAAGTGGGAAGTCTGGACTTGGTGTCACATTTATATTATGTCCTTTTTAAGCCAACTAACCCCTATTAAAAAATTCAATTAGTGTATAAAGCTTGTATGTTACTCAATATTCTTTCATAGTCTGATGCAGTGCATAATTAAAAATATTAAGATAAATAGGTATTTTTTCTATATATTAACAGTTTTCTATTTAATTAGTATTATGTTTAAGTGGTTTCTAGATTTTTCTTATAAATAGCCTCTTACGCATTTGGTTTTATTCGGTTATTACTGATATTAATATTTTATAAAATAGCCTTGTAAAGTATTTTCAGTCATTGTTCTCATTATTCTCAATTCTTGTTTTCGACTAGATTTAATTTTTAAAAAAAAATTAGTGCCTTAAAAAACTTGGTTTATTCGGGGATCTTTAAAAAACATGATTATCTTTTGCATTTATCTAGCTTCTGCTACGTCATAGTCTTTGTCAAAAGACAATGGAAAAAAATCTCTCATCAGTGTATCAATTCAAAGATGTCTGAGTTCCAAAGTATGAACGTGAAAACAAATTCATATAAAGGGTGTCACCGCATAAGTAAAGATTGCTACCCTAAACCTTATTCATTCCATAATATGAGAGTAGAAGTGAAGAATGCTTCTCAGTTTCTCATTGAGAAACATGGAAAGCAAAACGCTATAATTATACAAATTCTTAAAACGAAGAAGACAACTATGTGATGAAGGGAAAATTAGTCTTTTAATACCTCAGACCTCGTACTAGCTTCCTCTCAGAGGAATCACTCCGGAAACTACCAACCGACGTCGACCGTTCGGGTTTGCTCGGGATAGTTTTGGAGAGCCATTCAAGTCCTTCATATAAGCCTTGGCCAGAAATGGCCGATGTTCCCTGTATAAACCTGTACCAATCATATTTACACACCTTTGGTCATCCTCTATCTTTAAATGTATTGCAAGCCAAATGGAATAAGAAAAGACATTTTTATTACCAACAACGTTTGGATAGGCTGTGCAGACCAAGTCTATTGGCAACATCGTCTACCGGTAAAGCATTTCTTGAATCTTGTTTGTTCGCAAAGACGAGTACACACGCATCTTCTAGTTCATTCTGTTCATTTTTTTTTTTCAAACCAAAAAAAGTTGTAAGACTACAAAGAGGAGAGAATGAGTAACTCTTAATAGAGCATTTTCAAATGATTTTACATTGGTTAGTATGCGATGCAGCTCGTTACGAGCTTCTGATATCCTTGTACTGTCACTGCTGTCCACCACAAAGATGAGCCCTTGCGAGTTCTGAAAATAGTGTCTCCACAATTTGCGAATCTGCTCAAAAATGGAACAGAATATATCATGGCTCTGTTTTTTATGTGTGGATTGGTACACATCCAATCTCAGAGAGATGAGTGCAAGATGAAATAGACATGGATATTACCTTCTCTTGTCCTCCTATATCCCATACAGTAAAATTGATGCCTTTGTATTCTACTGTCTCGAGGTTGAACCCTGGCAAATTGTAAAAGAATCAAATGCTTTAACCCTGACTATCCCAATACAGATACCGAATGTTGAATATCCCACATTGGTTATGAGTGGGACTAACTAGTGCTTTTTAAAATCACATGAACACCCTCACTCATAAGCTAAGGCACAAGTTAGTCCCAATTGCCAATTCTAACGATGTACATGGAAACCCAGCCCTGAGTTTGGAAGGCCACATACTAGAAAAGAGTTGAGCCGTTTTGCCATATTAAATTTTAAACTCATGACTTTTCGAAAACCCATTTCGAAAGAGAGTTTTTAGTAATTTTGCCGCTAGACCAAAGAGATGTTGTGAAATTTTAACAGCTAAAATGAGGGCCGCAAGCATGGGTTCAAATCTGGGCTGGTGGAGAATTTAACACCACATCAACATGAAATTTAACAAGCTATCAAGAATTTTCTTCCTCACAGATGCAAACACAAGTACACAACCAATGGGAAAACAAATCAACTATCTATACATAAGCTATGATCCACAGAGAATGCTCAAAGTACATATGAGCCAAACACATTTTGCTCTAACTTCATAATCAATCTCTGACAAAGAGAGGTTTTGATCAGAAGCACAAAAAAATGATCAAGAAGAAGAATAGCTTATGTGACATACCGATAGTAGGCACTGTTGTGACAACATCGCCGAGCTTCAGCTTGTAAAGGATGGTAGTCTTCCCTGAACCATCAAGACCCACCATCAAAATCCTTACTTTATACTTAGGAAGAAACCTTTTTGCTATACGTGAAAATCTAGCTCCCATGTAGAAAAACAAATTTATGGAATCTGAGAAATGATGAAAGAAACACTGATCTCAAGCTATAAGCTGGGGTTATATGAGATCTGTGAAGAATATTGCACACATGAGAAAAAGGTAAAATAAAAGTTTGAAATTGCTGAAGGTAAAAGCAAGCAAAAAAAAGGTAAAGTCCCATTACAAAGGCTGTAAGGAATAAATTCCCAAAGGTGAATGAAAGCAAAGAACGGTCTGCCTTTTCCAAACTTAAAAGCTCACCGTATATTTTTGCTTCCATCAGATTGATTTCAGACACTGAAGAAGACTGGTTAGATTCTGTGTGCTGGATCATTGTAGAAGCATATCAGAATCTTATTCCCTGAGAGTACATTGCCAGCAGTATGGAATATGACACGTACATAGGAGAGACACAAAACTGGAATTACATAAAGATTGGTTAATTGGGTGGTAAGAAGACAATAATACAAATATCAAATCGGATTTATTGGGTTGAACTCTTTGTTTTTTTATATTTTTTTTCTACATTAGTGATAGTCCTTTGCCGGTAAAGGCAACTGCAAACTATAAGGGTTGACTAGCGTCGAAACTAAAACGGCTTTATTATTTTATGTAAAATAAAATTGAAATTGTTTTGTCTGGTCTTTTTTGTGGAACTTTTGGCTGCTGATAACAAGGGACTTATGAGCCAACGGCCCAACGCAAGGTACGTGGGAAGTTGTAAAAGGTCCATCATGTTTTCTATCTGTCAGGGTAGAGGCTTGGTGTGTGGTAAAGAATGTCATCTACTACTGTCTACTGCAATTATGCCGGAGATTGCATGCTGTATGACTCTGAGGGTGGGAAGTGATCAATGGTTTGGAAGAATTACTTGAGAACCGTACACATGTTTTGTCAAATGGAGATACAAAATTTGGTATGCCGAGATTTTTTTAGAACCGAGATGCAAGGGTTATGGTCTTATGGAGGTGAAGTTTGGGGGTAAGGTCATGTGGGTTGATGTTATATATGCTTATAGTCCCTCGCATGTCATATGAATTGAAGGATGTTAACCGTTTCGGTTTAATGACTCTTAGTGTGGTCAATATTGTTAAACCATCGCAGAGTTGTTGTTTTTGCTTTGATCATGCTGTTTTTCCTTCTTTGAGTTTAGGGTTTAGTCGATATATTTTACGTCGACTTTACCTCGACGATTCGACGATTTTACGTCGATTTACAATAAATTTATTTGACTTTTGCGAAATAGATCATCTCGATATCGTTGTAAATCCGATGTAATTTTACATCGATTTTAGTTGTTTTTGTGTTAAAATTAATTCGTCGTACTTTCATTGGAATGTTTACGTCGTTTTTACGACGAATTGTTTCCGACGATTTTACGACGATTTTATTGTGTTGCAATTTTACGACGATTTTATGACGATTTTTCTTTTACGACGATTGTTTTACGATGATTTTTCATTCGTCGCTAATTCAACGTAAATTGCTCATTACGTCGATTTTACGTCGACGATATCTGACGTAAAAATCGTTCTTTCTTGTAGTGTATGCTTATAGTCCCTCGCATGTCATATGAATTGAAGGATGTTAACAGTTTCGGTTTAATGACTCTTAGTGTGGTCAATATTGTTAAACCATCGCAGAGTTGTTGTTTTTGCTTTGATCATGCTGTTTTTCCTTCTTTGAGGCAAACTTCTATATTGTTCTTTTAATACGAGAATTTTATCATCCCTTTGTTTTCACTACTGAGATTGCCATACGCCTAACCTATGTCGACCTTATTTATTATACTATTTAAATTTACGTTTGTCTTTACACGTTCAATTATAGTGTTTTTTCCTTTCAAAAAAAGAGAGGCTCATCTACATCATCACTTAGCTGGATCTGATACTGTGAGTCTGTGACATCCCAAAAAACAAAATTAGGGCTTATTTTTGGCGATTTAAACCTTAAAGCCTTAACCTTTACTTTTCGAGGAAGAAAGTCCTAATTTGCAAAAAAGCAATGTGTCGGACTCTTAATTCTTGAGTAAAAATATTTTTGGGACAAGGTTAACTTCATTCTAAGTTGGGCCAGTCAGGAAGTAGAGGCAAAGAACAAATAAAACAAAGTGGTGGAGCGAAAGAAGCATTGAGGAAAAGCGTCGGGCCTGTTTCGGGTTAAGGAAAAGCTCATAAGAAAAGAGTGTATTGAGGCTTATTCTAAAGTAGATCATAAAGTTTTAGCAACTTATTTTCTTTGGCCTAGAAGGAGGAGAAGAGAAACCCACGTTTGAAGCCTAAAAAAATCACTGTAGGCAAAAATGGATATTTGCTTGGAAACCCTAAACCTAAAAAGTCTCACCCCTTACTCTACAAATAAAGAAAAAAGCTTGTGGCAAAGAGGAGACACATAGTTTAGAGCGATAAAGTCCTGCCGGAATACCGTTTGAGCAGTCACCATAAAAGCACTTTAAAGGAAAAGCCACCATAGCTATCTAGAAGACAAATCCAACCTGTTCTGACATATGAGAGATTTGTATAGGCAAATCAGATCGGAAAAATCTGAAACTTGATAATCATATTTTTGACACCGAGATCTGTCCATATCTGAAAGATGATATTCATTTGGAGTTGTTGTTTGAAAGTTATGTATGCTTTCCTGATGTATATCTGCTTGAGGAGCCAATCTTTATAGATATACCTCGGGAAAACATATATAAATTTTAAATGAAAATTCCAATTGAAAATTTTCTGGCATTTGTAGACAGATGTGGATGTCTGGAATATCATGACCAAGTTTCAATTTGATCCGATCTGATTTGCCTATTAAATTCTCTCCTACGCTAGTACATGTTGGATATGTCTTCTAGATGGTTGTGATGATTTTTCCTTCAAAGTGTTTTGATGGTGACTGCTCAAACGATATTTCGGCAGGGCCTCACCGCTCTAAACTTTGTATCACCTCTCTTCCACGACTTAGAATGAAGTAAACCTCGTCTAAAAACTACTTTTACTCAAGAATTACGAGTATGACATATTGCTTCATTTACAAGTTAGGACATTATTCTTTGGAAAGTTGGGGCTAGGCTTTAGGGTTTAAATCGAAAAAATAAACATAAATTTTGATTTTTGGGATGTCACAAATTCTTTCACTTGAAATGAATTCGTCTTTGAATTTGGGGTTGCTTCTCCCTCACTTGGTTTTCGACCTCACCTTAGAGTGTCCATTGACATCGTAACAATTCTATTGCGCAGTCAATCTCCAGGCCTTTTTTTTTTTTCATTCCATTTTCTCACTGTTGGAGTCTTCAGTTAATGCTATGCAGTTTTGGCTTGCTACCACTCCTGGAAATTTCGCCTTTGAATTATCCAACACCTTGTCAATATAGAGTTCAAAGATCCATGCATGTGTAACTCACGTATCGAACAAAGTGTAGGCTGTAAACCCTCCCATCAGAACCGATTCTATACGATCTTTTAGTTCTAAGCGACTCGACATAGAGGAGAACTTGCATACATTTTTTAAACAGCCAATCACACAATTTTCTTATGTTAAATGTTTCGGCTCTGCGTCCTTGCGAGAAGCATACTCGTCCTGTGTTGCGTAATCAGCGCCTAACGCAAACACTCATGGTCCCATTAATGGCCTCTTCGGAGGTGGCAGCAACTGGTCCCTATATTGGTTCCCTTTCTGAGGTCCTCCTAGTCGTATCCTACAGTTTCTGCAGAAATAACCCTTACGCCCACACTGATTGCACGTGATTTCCATGTTAGGACAGTGCATCTTTGTGTGTCATAGATCTCTGCACCCAAAGCACCGTCCTACCAAACATGGTTCGATATGTACCCTTCCACACTTACCACATATCTCCAGTTTGCCCAGTCCTTGAATACGCCCACGATGATCCGAGAACTGTTGTGGAGTGTCTGTTACTCTAGTTTCTCCAACCACTCCCACTCTGAAATTCCTAACAACATGTCCGATCTTCAAACATGAGCTGCATGTGATTCCCTGCGGAAAAAATTTCTTAATATGCCCTGACTTCCCACACCCCATCTTGCACTGCTCCGCGGTTATCCTGGATTTGCATTTGGGCCACCGCCATCATTGCTGCTCTAGCTCGAACACCCCTTACAAGTCTGTCCTCAACCTCGAAACCCTTCTCCATGAGTGTTGCTTTCTTGATCTGGTTAGTTATTGATGTGAAGAATGGTTTAAGCAGCTACTGAATTCCCTGAAATATGGCTGCTCTCACAGCTGTACCTATGGCTGCAGGATCCATTGTCGGAGCTCCAACTCCTGCTACTTGACCTTTTACATCAATATTCTCTTGCACCATGACTTTTACTTTTTCCACTGTGTCGGTTGCATTCCTGGTTTGGTTCTCATCTCCGTTGCACTGAGGTTTTGCCATTCTGAAATATGAAACACTCGGATCAGATCTTCTACCTAGAGAATCAAAGAAGACTGACTCAGGCCAATGTCATTGCTGTCCTACATTCTAACCCTCGAAGAAAACAGATCTGAAAATACCAAAAGAAATAAAATTTCAAAATATTTGAAAACCGATGTAAAACCTTTTTAACAGTCTCACTACGTTTTTTGGGTCGAAACCGGTTTGGCTAACCTTATGCTACCGAGACATTATAATCTCGTAAATTTAACCTAACTTGAATCTCATAACAAATTTTTAAATAATAACGAACACATTAAATATTGAAATATACTTTATTAAATATAAAACCAAAAACTCAAAACGTCTTAGTAAATAAATCCACCTAAACCTTAGAAATTTTTATTAAATAATAAATGAAAAGAACTCAAAATGCGTCCATGATTCCTAGAACACCACAACGACTACCACTAGTTCTACTCTTTGGTCTCACCTGAAAAATGAATTGAGTGGTGAGTATTTGAGGAAATATTCAGCGAAGTGTCTTTTTGGGAGTACACATGATTGTTAGATATATTATTTCGAATAACAATATGAGTATGCACAGTAAGCAATAAACACAAACAAGTTCTTACTAACAAAACTATATGTCATGGAGAAATCATTTTCATACATAATAATTTGCTTCACACATCAATCATCCTAGCAAATATGCATCACATTTCCAAGGGTCGCAACCACATAGCAATCAATCTAATTCACACTCTAGACTTGT